ACTTGCAGAGCAGTTGGAAACTCTCCCTGGGCTCGAAACAACCCTTCCTCGTCGTTAAATTTTGCCGAGATTTGATTGGACCAATTTCCAGGTCGTCGGACTGCAGGTCGGCACAAGTTCTTGCTCGTCACAATTGGGGGTTTTTTATTAAAGGATCCACAGACCAATTCAACGACTCGACATGCTTCAACAGGCTCCCAATTGAAGTTTTGATCCCTTCTCCAACATCGATTCATCACCATTGTCGTCGAATCATCCAGTTCATCTTTCCCGCCGTTAGCCAATTTCGAACCCAGATTTTCCAATTGGAAATTGGGTGTTTTTTGTTCAGGCTTCGACGGAAGGAATTGACGGCTCCGACACGTTCCTTGGACATCGAGGAACGATTCTGGAGTGGTTGTTTGCGGCGGATTGCGACCAATCTTCCCAACCCATTCGCACTTTTTCTCCGCGTCGTTTTTCACGAACAGGGGGGTCTTTGCGCAATTCGATTCTTCAATTTCGGATGTGATCATCTCCAATGAAACAACACCTAACGTTGCTGGGTTCTGAGTGAATGTTTCGGCATCATTGACCGACTTCGACTCGTCGCCGGTTGTTCCACCCAATAGGGTCGTCGGGACGCTCTGTTTTTCTGAAGAAAAAACAGAGTTGGGGAACTCTGCTCTCCTCACCGGCGAGATTTTCAGGTCGGCAGCTCGCTCCAGGACATCTCCTCGCTCGTCCATACTTCCTTCCAACTCCAGCAACGTTTCTCTGGCCGCGTTGGACTCCAGTTTTGCCTCCTCGTCGCCGGCATCACTATTGGTATCGGAGCTCTGTTTTGTTAACGGAAAACAGGGGGGCACAACTCCATGCGACAGCTCTTCCTCAACGAGCTGGAACTTCGGCTCAATTAGCTGAGGCTCCACTTGAAACGACTTCATCGCTATCAGCTGTTCCTCCTCGTCGCGGATTTGTTGCAGCAGGGTGGCCTGATCTTCAGCTGCTTCTTCTGGCGAGAGAAACTTCAAAGCAAAACTTGTCCCACAATGGCGCAATCTGACGTGGTTTGTTCTTCTGCTCCGTCGAGCTCCGCGATCGACGTGCCAAGGATTACCCAACACTATATGAGTCAATTTCAGAGGAACCACGTCACACCGAACCTCATCCTCGTATCTTCCGATTTTGAAAGGTAAGGTCACCTCCTCTGTTACGAAAACAGAGCTTCCTGTTTCCAGCAATGACACCGAATGAGGAGCTGAATGTTTTCGAGTCGACAGCCCCAATTTTGCTACTGCACGTGAGCTAATCAGGTTTGATTTGCTCTCACCATTGACGCACACGGAACACACCTTCTCGCCCACCAAACAGCGAGTATATGACGTCAAATTCGCTTGTTCTAACTCGCCCACCATGGTTGTCCTGTTTTTTCGACGAATTCTGCTTGTACGAATCAGCACGCTTTCGCCTTCTTCTTCGCCCTCGTGTAGAACCAGGCTCTGATACCACTTGATATGATCCTAATTCGAGAATCCTCCCAAATCGGACCAAAAAATCAGAATTGCACAACGTCGAACTCTTTTTTTGGGTTTTCTCCTTTCTTTGAATAGCACGAAAATAAAGATACTTGCGGAATCGATCAAACAAATCGGAACTCGTGAGAAGGGCTAGAAGGTATATGAAACCTTCCAAACAATCTCGAACCCGTGGAAGAGGCCAACCGATATCGTCGATGCTCGCCACAACTAGACGTGTTCTCTAGTTGATAAGAGACCACTCAAACCTCCCGAATCCTCAATGGAGCGAATAAGCAAAACTTGCACTTGAACTTGTAAACACTTGTATTTGATTGCTGAAACTTGAATGTTGGGTACCAAATTCGTAGCTCTTACATCCTCTATTTATAGAGGTCACAAAAACATAAAACTAACCTAAAAGGAATAGGAAAACAAATCCCAAACTAACTAGGAAACATAATACTACTTAAATAAGGACTAGAACTCGTTTTTATGACCAAAGGAAGCTCCTTAACAGCTAAGTAATCTCCAAACACGTTTTTAATGCTTAAGGAAGCTCCTTAGTGGTTAAGCAATCTCTTTCCTTGTCCTTTTCACATTTGGATGACTTGGATAGCAAGGATGGACGTTTTCGGCTCCAAGAAACGTTGTAGGCTGGATCCTTAATGCATTCTCCATTTTATCCATCAAGAATGCTCCCAGTTGATCCTTAAATCGTTGAATTCGAACCTTCATTTTGGGACCACGAGAATTGAATATCGCGCTAGTCAATATCGCATCATTCCCTCTCTCTTGAAGAATTTTCGACCTCGAATCTTTATAGTATCGTGATCCTTGATGAGCGCCACTCTTCTTGGACTTCCAACGAAATTGCCTTGGTGAGGATCGTATTACAAGTGGGGGCATGTAAATCAAATTGAATCGTATTGAATGACTCATTTTATAGAATTAGACAATTGACCAAATTGTCTCGTTTTCTAATCGATCCATCCAAACGATTCCAAATTTTTTTTAAAAAAAAAAATTGTAATGCAAAGCTTTAAACACCTAATAACCTTGACTTGTTATACAATTCATAGGATTCTCAGGAAAATTGGAAAGGAGTGGCTGAGATATATATAATATAAATGGTGGTTATGGTCTTTATTTAAGACCCTTTATCATTGTATTTTTGATATGTATCATTGTCATGGGCCTATATATATATACTAGAATGAACCCGCACTATACTGCGGATGCTAAGAGACTATGAAATTATTGGTTGCTGACTATAACATGTAATATGTTTGTTACAATTTCTTGTTGGGGACTTTGTAGGAACTTTTTCATGATTTTTAAAGTTATTTACTTGTTGGGGACTTTTTCATGATTTTTAATCATTGTAATTTCTTATTCTTTTAGTTTTACCATTTTACCCATACTATCTTAAGAAGGCATTGTTACTTAAAAAATATGTTTGATACATGAATTACCGTTGAGATGTATAATTTTTAGTTTGTTAGATACTTTACATTAGTAATGACAATTCGACCTAACACATTTTACCCAATCTGTTTGACCTGTTTTTGGGTAGTGGGCAAGCCGGGGCAAACATGGGTAATGTCCTCGACCAGACCTATCCCAACCCATCTTATTTTGACGCGTTCTTGCTTAAATCACATGTAATATTACTCAAATTACTTATGATTTTACTATTATTACATAATATTTTAGCTATAATAAAGTTGTAAATAGGTGAAAAGCTCACGAATAATTTAACAACATTTATTATGTTATAGTTTGTTTCTTGATTCTTGTATGAAGAAATATTTCAAAGATTTATGTTGAAATTACATACCCATATAGGTCGACAGACGCCGATCGACACCTCATAATAAATTACATGACCTGCAACGAAACAAATATAAGTATCGAGATACCAGCCCCGAACTTCCACATTACCGTTCCTAATTCACGTACATATTATGAATATGCCCACCCATATGCTTTACTATGGATTGAGATTCACTGTTTTCCCCAACTAATTAATTACTTATGAAATTTTCAAAAGAGATAAATATATATAAATGGAACGAATGAGTGATAACTGATAACCGTTTTCACCTCAATTTCATGGGATATGGGATTAGGCGCTAATAACTAGCAAAAAACGTTACTAAAAACAACGAAATCACTACGGATTATTATAAAATCAATACAACATCTAAGCTAAATCACTACTAATTCAAACTAGTAGTAGTTTTTCCCTTGGTTAAGACGATGCTAACTATTGTACAATTAGCACCGTAACTCCTCCCCAATTTCATCATGGAAATTGGCATCCATGGAGAAACGTGTGAAACAAATGAACTCCACTTCCCACTTATATCCAAGTGTCAATAAATAGTTGGTCAGTCATATACAATCTTAGGCAACAGTAATCTGCATTTAACTTTATATATATTAGTGTGGGTTAGTTGAATTTAACAACATAAATTTATGTCGGTATTTAGTACTGGGCACATGAGTTCACATAAAAAAACAAGATTAAGTAGTTAATTATAGGGTTAATACCTTATTTTGGCCCGAACTATGTACATATAATCAATTTTGGCACGTGGTTTCATAAATTAATATCCTAGCCTCAAATATGCAGCATATAGACTAAATTAGCCCGACACATGCTTTGACCGTCAATTTGGATGGTCAACATCATTGACCGTTAGTCAACACGCCATGTCATTGCCTAGTCAGCCTAAAAATCATTAAAAATTCAAATTAAAATTATTATTATTTATCATTTGTAAATTAACCAAAAATTAAAATTCAAAAAATATATAATAAATTTTATCTTTTATCTTTTGGGGTATTTGAAAATGATAATTTTATAAATTAAAAAAAATTATCAAATTAAATTTTATAAATGTAGGAAATATAAAAAACATAAACCAAAAAATAAATTTTTATTTTTATTATTTATCATTATCAAATTAAAAAAAATTATAAAAACATAAATAATTTTTATATTTTATTTTTTTGGTAATTTTAAAATGAAACATTTTATAAATTATCAAAATATTATAGATTTTATAAATTACCCAAAAATAAAATGTAAAATATATATATTTTTTAAAATTTACCATTTTCAAATGTCCCAAAAGATAAAACAAACAATTTTTTTATATTTTTAAAATTTTAGTTTTTGATTAATTTCAAAATGATAAATAATAACAATTAGAAAAATAATTTTAATTTTAAATTTTAAATGATTTTTAGGCTGACTAGGCAATGACATGGCGTGTTGACTAACGGTCAATGGTGTTGACCGTCCAAATTGACGGTCAAAGCATGTGTCGGACCAATTTAGTCTAGTCTATATGCTGCATAATTGAGGCCAGGATGTTAATTTCTGAAACCACGTGTTAAAATTGAATATATGGTCATAGTTCGGGCCAAAATAAGGTATTAACCCTTAATTATAAAAAAAAATGTCGAAAGTGACATTTTGACTGTTTGCAGAGTATGGTGCCGGACGTGATCGCTAGCGCAGAGATGATGCTAGAGAGATGGAAGATGAAGGAGGGGAAAGAGATCGAAGTTCATGAAGAATTCAGGATTTTATCGTCGGAAGTGATTTCCAGGACAGCTTTTGGGAGCAGCTTCAAGGAAGGACAACATATATTTGGCATGCTCAACGAATTGATGATTCTTTCCGACAGAAATACATTCAAAATGAGTCTTCCAATCATTAGGTATGTACCTACCTGGCTACCTGCCACCCCTCGCTCCAACTGGCAAAGATGAAGATTTAGTTGTCTCAACTCTCAAGTAGTAGGACTATCGGTTGAGTTTGGTTTCATAATCGAAGTAAAACCACTAAAATCCGATATAGTCGGTTTTCCCAAAACGGAAACCAATCTCATTAACGGGCTTGTCGATTTTCGGTTAATCGAAAACAGAGAAGCCTCATAACAGGTTCTAATAGTTTTTAGGCTTAATACTCTAGTTTGGCCCGAAGTTCGGCCACAGTGACAATTTTGGCCTGAATTTTTCCGGTAATTAATTAGGCATTCATTGAAGCTCCCTTCAACCAAATCGGTTAAGGCGGTCCAAAATACAAGGACAACTCGTCCACAAACAGCAAACAAAAGCTTAAACAAGTCTATACAAACTCACTCCAAAAACGAACTATTTGCATTTCCACACGAAATTGGCCTGAATTTTTTAATAAAACAGTTATGGCCAACTTTTCAAATTAATGGACAAATTTGGCCCGAAATTTTCTTTGACCGTTAATATTGACGGTCAAACACTTCTTCGTTAGTGACTCAGCAAAAAATACTGATGTGGTGCCATGTCATTATACAATAAATTTTAACTTTTGTATTTCAATTGAAATAAAAAAATTAACAAATTAAAAGAATCCCTCTTCTTATCCCAAAATACCCAAATTCAAACCCTAATCTGAATCAACATCATCGTCAAATGGCGTCTCCCACCCGATCTCTTCCCTGCAAAAATGTTATCGACAAATGGTTCGAGGTCAGGGAGGAGGAGATCAGAGGAGACTCGGGCGTTGGTCTCTAGATCCACCACGGCGGCACGATGGAATGGCGGTTGTTTCTTCCTCCAACAGGGGTCGCCGTCCGGAGAGAAAAAGGAGCAGAATCGGTCATCCGACGTTGCAGACGGTGGGACCAAAACGTAGGTAATGTCGGGCCCGAGGGAGAGAGGAAGTCGTCTCTGGCAGCAATCACATAACCGATGGCGTTCGGAGATTGTGGTGTTGGTGGTGGCGGAGGTGGAAGTGGTGGACGAGGAGTCATTGGGGTTGGAGATGCTGGAGAATGATTTGGCGCAGTGGAGCTAGAGGGCGAGGCGTTCGCATAGGTAGGCGGCGCAGAACCCGGTGACGCCATTTGTGGGGTGGCGGCGGTAGGTAAAGTGATGGCAGCGCTGTGGCGGAGCAGGACTCATGGTTGTAGGGCTTGGATTTGGGGAAGATGATAGTGGTGCGACAATGAAGGGTTTGGGATAATAATAGGGATTCTTTTAATTTGTTAATTTTTTTAATTCCAATTGAATTACAAAAACTAAAATAATATTATATAATGACGTGGCACTCATGCATAAGCCACATCAGCATTTTTTGCTGAGTCACTAACGGAAGAAGTGTTTGACCGTCAGTATTAACGTTCAAAGAAAATTTCGGGCAAAATCTGTTCATTAATTTGAAAAGTTGGCCATAACTGTCTTATTGAAAAATTTGGGCCAAAATTGTCACTATAGCCAAACTTCGGGCCAAACTAGGGTATTAAGCCTAGTTTTTATATATATATATATATATATATATATATATATATATATATATATATATATATATATTTTTTTTTTTTGGTGGGAAGCCTAGTTTTTATTAGAGTAAGGTTTGTTTCTTATCTTTTTTGATGAATGATGAGAATATTATAAGAAACTAACCTATCCATGAAAGTACAAAGGTAAAAAATAACAAGTCAGCAGCTCAACCAGTAGTAGAGCAAGCAAGCAATGAAAAAAAACAAAAGAAAATTAAGCAAAAGAAAAAAAAAAACAACCAACTCGAGAATAAAAAGAAGAAAGAACGTGAGGGTCAAATGAGGTGCTTCGTCCCAATCGCCATCCACTGATGGAAGCGTCTATCTGAGGTGCGACTAAAAGCTCGTAACCATCGTCCAACTATAAGAACAAGTGTTTGTTTCTTATCAATTTTTGGTTTAAATCTAAACAGTCAAAATATAAACCAATTTGGGAGCAATTACCGAAACCGATTGTAGGATTCTTACCGGTTCACAGTTTCTGTTTAAACCGAACCCAATTTCCCAGAAGTAATCTCAAGTCAACATGTGTTGTATGGAGTGGTGATACTTTAATTTACCTCTAGTATGAATATGGTGTTGCAGTGACCTGTTCAAAACCAAAGATGAGAAGGACGCTATCAGGCTGGTCCAAAGAATTGCAGACTCGATTATGGAAATGGTGAAAAATAGACAAGAAAAGGTGAAAAACAGAGAGGTCGATGGCTTTGGGAAAGATTATCTTGGACTACTTCTGAAGGCTTATCATGATGAAGGCCATTCCATGAAGATTTCTGCAGACCAATTGGTCGACGAATGCAAAACTCTATATGTGGCTGGACAGGAAACAACAAATACTTTGCTCTCTTGGATGATTCTGCTTTTATCAATCCATCAAGATTGGCAAGAAGAGGCAAGAAGAGAGGTTCTTAGGGTATTTGGTCCTGATAAAACCCCTGATTCCGATGGGATTACAAGGCTCAAACTGGTAATCATACTCTTTTGCCCTTTTAATTTTTTTATTTTGTTCTCATGAGTTGTACACCTGTTGATTCATATGTTTTGAGAGATGGGATGTCTGTCAATTTGTATTGTGGAAATCTATAAGAGATTTTATGGAGGAGATAACTTTTTGGGGAAAAAATGAGTTGAAAGACAAGAAAATTACATGGTTAGTGTTATTGGGGCTTAGTCGTGTTATAGATACATATTAGTAGTATAACACATTAGTAAATAGTTATTATCAATAACTAAACTTCTCTTATTAACTCGAGTTATTGAGAATAAATGGTTCTTGATATGGTATCAAAATCTTCAATGATTGAGAGTTTTTGTATTTAAATCCCGATAACCCTAGTTGTTATATATATGGTACTAAATGGTTGTTGATATTGTATCACAGTCTTTGATGATTGAGAGTTTTTGTGTTAAAATCCCGACAACACCATTTGTTAAATATATGGTACTCAGACGTGTGCTAGTTTTTTTTACAATAGATGCGACATTAATATCCATCGACTTTTGATATAGTATCACGCGATCAGATGCCACTCTAATCGGTGTCACAAAACTAATAGTTCGAAAAGGTTTTTATGAGATTGAAACCTTGTTCTATTGTCTGTGTAATCAAGTTAATTGTTGACTCTCTTATAACCTACTCTCTCTTGTTTTCAATCTTTTGTTACAGATGGGTATGATCATCAACGAAACTTTAAGGCTGTACTCTCCAGTATTTGCCGGATTCATGCGTGATGTCGATAAGGAAACCAGACTTGGGAAGTTTGATTTGCCTGTTGGCGTCCAGTTTCACATTCCAATCATGGCGATTCACCATGATCCAGACATTTGGGGACAAGATGTTCATCTTTTCAAGCCGGATAGGTTCTCGGAAGGAGTTGCAAAAGCTACAAACAACAACCCAAGTGCGTTCATGCCCTTTGGGATGGGACCTCACACATGTGCAGGATTCAACTTCGCCACAAATGAAGCAAAGATAACAATTGCAATGATCCTTCAGCGCTTTACTTTCAGTCTTTCCCCGGGCTATGTCCATTCACCTTTTCCTGTGTTGGCGGTTAGGCCAGAGAAGGGGGTTCAAGTTATCATCAATTCGCTATAGGCAAAAGACAGATACCAATACCATTGCTAATAATGTGTGTTTCGAGTTGCTAGCAAAATAATAATATTTTTCTTTCTTTTGTTGTTTTTCCTTTTGGATTTCAATCAGTTGAATCCACAAATTATGTTGGACTGTATTTTGTGTACTCTTTATTATGGGTACCATTTAGTATTTTGGTTAATCCCTAATTACCCTAGGTTACACGGTTGAGGGGTATTTAGTAGGGTTAACCCTTTTGTCATCTCTGTAACTTGGAGGCTCGATTTCTGTTCGGCCAAACTATAGTGAAACCCTCTCTGAGAGCTTGGCTCTCCGTGGATTAGTCCCGTTCATCGGGGATACCACGTATATCCTTGTGTTATTCTTTTTCGCGTTTCAGCTTATTTTACATGGTATCAGAGCGGTGATCGACCTACTGTGATCATGGCCGCTGGAGACGAGACTAACAGCGGTACCACAGCTGTCGTTGTTGGCGTCGACGACACTATCCCTCTCGCATCTCCTCTTTATTTACACCCGTCAGAAAACCCTGGCCAATTGTTTGGCAACGACCTACTGACCGATCTCAAGTACGGCGAATGGGTCAATGACATGACAGAGGCTCTTGTCGCCAAGAATAAGATGGCCCTCGTTGACGGATCATTCTCGCGTTCCGCGGTTGGTACTGGGCTGCGCAACGACGCCTGGGATCGTCGCGACGCCATGTCAAGGGCTGGCTCAAGACCGCGATGAGCAAGGTAGTCCGCAACAGTGGTCGTAGAGTTCGAACGGCATGTGAGATATGGTCGGATTTGCTCTCTTCGGCAGGAGAAGCTCTCCGTCTCAGCCTTTTATACGAAGCTTTGCACCTATTAGGACGAGTTACAGATCATTAGCATCAATCCCCGTTGTAGCTGCGGCGGGTGCACGTGCGTCGTGGCCAAACAGACCCGTGAGAAGCTCGAGACGGAGCGTTTATTTGATTTCTTACTCGGTTTGGATGATGTGTTTGTTGTTGTCCGCTCGCAGATATTGAGCATGAAGCCCGTACCTTCACTCGCCGAGGCCTACCAGCTGGTTGCTGGCAAAGAGCAGCAAAAGCAGCTTACTGCAGGCAGGCGTCCCTCGGTTGAGTCGGCTTCCTTCCAGGTGCGCGAGGAGCAATCCAAGTTCGCCTCCTCAGCTGATCGTCCCACTCGCTGCAGTCACTGTCGCAAGTTAGGGCATACTAAGGAGATGTGTTATCGGTTAATTGGATTTCCATGATTACGGCAAGTCCAAGTCCCGTGATCCTGATCGTCCCTCTTCCGCGCGCAAGCCTCAAGGTGAGGCAGCACTAAGGGCTGCTCATGTCGACAACGATGATAGCCCCATCCCAGGCTTGACAAACACTCAATTCGCTAGCCTCAAACAGTTTTTCAGCTCTCCTATACCAGCTCCTGATCCAACAACTCACATGGCGGGTAATTTCACTGATCCTTCCGCATGTCTTCTTGATTCAGGTTGCAATGAACATATTGTTTGTGATGCTAGTTGGCCTGATGACATTGACCGTCGTGGTTCATATTCCCCGGTCCGCATTCCTAATGGCCGCCACGTCCCTGTTGAAGGGGTGGGTTCGGTGACGAGTTCTTCATGTCCCCGAGTTTAAATGCAACCTTCTTTCTGTTAGTCGACTCACGCAAGATAATGCTATTGCTTTGCTGTTCTTGGCTGATTTTTGCATCATTCAGGACTCACGTTCCAAGATAGTGATTGGACTGGGTCGCCTCCGTGATGGTCTCTACTATCTGCAGTGGGATGGGATGGTGTTCTCAGTACGTGGTCCTGGTGTCGGCGCGTTTGCAGCTAGTCACGACGAGCACTCACTTTGGCATCGTCGTTTGGGTCATCCCTCTGCTAAAAAGCATTCCTTGTTGCGTGGAGTTCTGGGTTCGGCAGTTTCTGGCTTAGTTAAGTTGCATTGTGATTCATGTTTGTGGGCAAAACAGACATGCTTAGTTTTTCCTTCTAGTTCTATTACTACTCGAGGTTGTTTCGAGTTGATACATGTGGATATTTGGGGGGATATAAGACCCCTTCCTTGGATGGTTCTCGGTTTTTCTTGATTGTGGTTGATGACTTTAGCAGAGCCACTTGGGTTTATTTTCTTAAGTACAAATCTGATGTTGAGCAGCATATTCGTTCTTTCTGTCAGATGGTTGTCACTCAATTTGATTGTTCAGTTAAGCGAATTCAAGCCGACAACGGGATGGAGTTTCAGACTACTTCTCTTCGCTCGTATTATGCAGAGCGTTGTATTCTTCTTCAAACCTCTTGTGTTAATACCCCACAGCAGAATGGGGTGGTAGAGCGAAAACATCGTCACCTACTTGACACTGCCCGGGCTCTTCGGTTCCACGCAGGTCTTCCGGTTCGTTTCTGGGGTGAGTGTGTTCTCACGGCTACTTATTTGATAAATCGCTTCCCCTCCTCGGTTTTGGTTGGTAAGACACCTTTTGAAGTGTTGTTGGGACGTGTGCCTACCTACACCCACCTTCGTGCCTTTGGGTGTTTGGCATATGCTAAAGATACCAGCTCAGGTTTGGATAAATTTGCTCCTCGTGGCCGCCGTGGTGCTTTTGTTGGGTATCCCCATTCCCAGAAGGGTTATCGGATCTACGACCTCGTCTCCCGTCGCACCCATACGTCGCGCGACGTTCACTTTGTCGAGTCCGACTTCCCCTTTCTCCAACCTGTTATTGTGCCTTCGCCCAATACTTCTCCTGCTGTCCCTCCCATTTCGGCTGTTGAGCTTGATGGGGAGCTTGACCCGTTGGTTCTGGAACACTCACAGGCTGCTGGGGATGTCACCGAGAGCTTTGATGTAGGTGATGACTCTTTGCATGTTGTGCATTGGGACACCAATGTCGAGGAGGAGTATGGCGCCCTCGATTTGGTCGATGAGGAGTGCGAGCCGCCTGTTTCTGCTACTGCTTCTCCCGTCCCAATCGAACCCACTCCAGCCTCCCCTTCTGCCCCATGTCGTGGTGATCGCATTCGACGGCCGCCGGGGAAGCTTGCTATTTATGACGTTGACTTGCTGCTAGCGGGTCTTCTTCTCCTGCTGCTAGCCATCCCATTTTTAATCAAGTGAGCTACCACCGTTTCTCCTACTCCCATCGTGCCTTCCTTGCCGCTATCACCCAGGTTGTTGAGCCTCGCCATTTTCACACGGCCGTTCAGTATGCTTGTTGGCGCGAGACATTGATTAAGGAGATCACGGCTTTGGAAGCCAATGGTACTTGGACCTTGGAGTTCTTACCAGCGGGCAAGCGGGCTATTGACTGCAAATGGGTCTACAAAATCAAGTATCATCCTGATGGCTCTGTGGAACGGTATAAGGCTCGTCTTGTAGCCAAAGGCTTTACCTAGGTCGAGGGTGTGGATTTCTATGACACCTTTGCCCCAGTAGCCAAACTTGTCACCGTTCGTGTTCTCATTGCAGTTGCAGTCAGTAAGGGTTGGCCTCTTCATCAGCTTGATGTTAACAACGCTTTCCTTCACGACGATCTTCAGGAAGAAATCTATATGAAAGTTCCTCCCGGTTTTGCTGGCAAGGGTGACACTCGGGTTTGCCGCCTTTCGACGTTCTCTTTATGGTCTCCGTCAAGCATCCCGGAATTGGTACACCAAGTTTACCCTCGCTCTTGCTGAGCTGGGGTTTTTGGCTTCTCGGGCCGATCCTTCGTTCCTCATCTATCATCGTGGCGCCAGCTTCGTCGCCGCCCTCATTTATGTGGACGATGTTGTCCTCACTAGCAATGATGATGTTTTTATCTCCCAAGTTAAGTCTTTTTTTTTATGATAGGTTCAGCATCAAAGACCTTGGCCCTCTCAAGTACTTCTTGGGCATTGAGGTAGCTCGTTCCCCTGCCGGGATTGTGCTCAGTCAGCGCAAGTATACTCTGGATATTCTCCATGATGCCGGTGTAGCTGGTGCTCGTCCGAGTTCTTTTCCCATGGAATAAAATCATACTCTCACTCGCCCTGGTCCTGCCACCGATGAGGTCGTTGATGAGAGCTCTTATCGTCGTCTCGTGGGGCGTCTCTTATCTCTCACTGTCACGAGGCCCGACATAACCTATGTTGTTAATGTCCTGAGTCAGTTTTTTCACGCTCCCCGTCCTGAACACGTGACCGCTGCTCATCGTGTCCTTCGGTACCTCAAGACTGCTCCAGGTCAGGGTCTGTTCTTTCCTTCTGACAGTTCTTTGACTCTGACGGCTTATTGCGATGCAGATTGGGGTGGTTGTCAAAACACCCGTCGTCCCACTACTGGTTACTTTGTTCAGTTCGGGGGTGCTCCGAGTTCGTGGCGCACCAAGAAGCAACGCGTGGTTGCTCGCTCCTCTGCTGAGGCTGAATACCGTGCCATGGCTAGTGTGGTTAGCGAGTTGCTAGCAAAATAATAATGTTTTTCTTTCTTTTGTTGTTTTTCCTTTTCGATTTCAATCAGTTGAATCCACAAATTATATTGGACTGTATTTTGTGTACTCTTTATTATGGGTACCATTTAGTATTTTGGTTAATCCCTAATTATCCTAGGTTACACGGTTAAGGGGTATTTAGTACGGTTAACCCTTTTGTCATCTCTGTAACTTGGAGGCTCGATTTCTGTTCGGCCAAACTATAGTGAAACCCTCTCTGAGAGCTTGGCTCTCCGTGGATTAGTCCCGTTCATTGGGGATACCACGTATATCCTTGTGTTCTTCTTTTCCGCGTTTCAGCTTATTTTACAGATTATATACGTTTTTTCCTTCTTCTTCCGGACTGATTCAGTAAGTTGTAATTACTAATGAGGCAAATTTTTAGGCAGGGGCAAAGCTATGATTCCAAGTTCATGGGAGCCAAAGGTTAATTTTATCAAAGTAATAATAAAAGAACTGAATCGCTATTCGTCACCCTAAAATTCAAATTTTATCATCCTAAAACGCAACAAATTGACATATTTACTCTTATACCCAATTTCAGATCTAGAC